AAAACAATATTGTCTAAAATTATACAATAAAAAGAAAACAATAGTAAATAAATATATAATATTATGGTATGAAAGAAATTGAATAAAATTCCAATACAAAGTTTCATCTAGATGGATCACGAGACATAAAATGGTTAACTAATCCAGGTCTGAGCTTGGTACAAATAACAAATTCTAAAAAACAACAGTAAAACCCGTCTGGAGATACGAAGCAGACTCTTGGGAACAAAAGCAAAAAAACTACACGTAGGAAAGCTGGAATCCCTCTAAGCAATCATTTTCGCGATGGTGGTAGATGCTTTATGATACGTCAGAAATGAAAAATTCGTAATAACTTACATGTTACAACAGCATACGAAAAAACTCGCACGTACGCAAAGGCATACAAAGAATGAATTACACATACCAATTAGCTTGCTGCAGAAATTTATGAAACTTCCTCCATGAAAAGATCGATTATAAGAAGGAAACATACGTTAGACCTAATTGCGGGGCAGAGACACAAATAGGTTATGTCTGTTCACAGATGGCGCCCCAATAAAGATTATTATTAGCGGGCTGCTTAATTATGCTATTTTACCATTATACATGAAAACATATTAATACTTTCTTCGAAATAAATATTAAATAAATATAGATATAAATAAAATATTTAATCCTATGATAATAATTCTTCGTATTAAAATTTCTAAAATACTCAAATGGAATTTTAGAGTAAAATTTGAAATATTAACGATATTACGGAATTTTGAGATAGGTTATGAAAATGTATTTCTCTCGAAACTGTTTTCGAAATTAACTGGCACCCTGTCTATTTTGGTCTCTATCAAAATCATGCTAATAAATCTAATAAAATTTCAGTAACAAATTGTATCTAAAAAATATTTTGAATTAAAAATATTTACATACGCATCATCACGAAAATTACGAAAAAATATCTCGAAAGAAAACTGTATTTAAGATTTTATTATAATTTTATTATCATAGGTTATACTCAATTGCTATTATAATATTCGAATTACCATAAAATTGCAATTATTTATAAAATTACGAAAAAATGTCTCGAGAAAAATGGTATTGGAGATTTTATTATTATTTTATTATCCTACATTATACTCTGTTATTATTAATATTCTCATGAAAAAGAAACAGAAGCAGATATTGAAATATCCTTGACCGAAAATGCTCTTTGCAACACTGTGCAATAAATTGGTACGAAATTTTCCATTTACATATATCAATTATTCCATCGATCTGAAAGCGAATAAAAATATCTTTAAACATGCTACGAAAAAAGATTGAACTTATAAAATATGACAAAAGAAGAGGTGAAGCAATATAAATAGAACTGGCTCGTCGATGCATACAGAAAAGCATTATCCATTATTCTGTTTTTTCTCTGGAAAACAAATTCCCGATATTTTTCGATTTAAACTTACAATTGGATATCGGGATCAATCTCTGATTACAGCTCGGCTGTGCAATAAAGGCAGGGGGTTAAGGGAAAGCAACTTAGAACGCTTTTATGCAAATGTTCGTTTAATCTTCAACAAGCTCGCTCCGATCTCAGTTACCCAAAGGTATATTCTTCGTTGAAGGTCTTCGAGTCCCTAACGAATGGACTGCGCATTTATAAACGTATAGAACAGCAGTGGCTGCTCTGAAGCACGTACTTCTCAAATGAAAAGGAACAATTAACATAATTCTTCTTTTGCATACGTTTAACATTTGATGTATAAATTATAACGAGTCATATAGTCGGTGTCTCCTCTGGAACGTGCTTGAATCGCAATAATTTTCAATATCCTTCCACCACATCCCACTATATTCTTTTTCTTCTTCGCGATCCTCGACTTAATGGTACTTTATTACCATTAATGGATATAAACCTGAGTTTCTTTGATAGCAGCCATTTTAAGATCACCCGAGAGGAAGATTAATAATCTGGATCAACGATCTCGTTTTTAATACGATGGGGCACAAGCAGCTTTAGGGAAAGTCATTTATTTGTCACGAAAAATAGGTGTGCTTTGCATAAGATGGTAATTAGGTTTCGAAGGAATACCGAGTTGTGCGAATCTGTGTTGCACGAAATGAGGAACTGGTATAAGAAATGAGGTTATGTTCGAGGGGATCAACAAAAGTGTATTTCCATTTTGTGGGACGAATATGTTTATTAAGAAGATTAATAATGAGTCGAAATTGGTGCATATTATTATTACAATGTTTCCTTCATATTTATATTTTTTAATTTTGTAAAATATTTCATATTCAATATTAAATTTGAATTTTATTGGAATTATATATGAAACGTTAAAATATTGGGTTGGTCAGTGAATATTGTCTGATTTTTCCAGTAGATGATTCCATTTTTTGTTTTTTAGTATAATGCAATATTCCTAAAGTATTAAATATAATTGCATACTAATTCGAATTATTCATTGTGGATCAAAGTAATTGATATATTGCTTTATAAAATCGTTATATTTGCCAATTTATGTATCATTTCAACTTGTATTGAAATGGTACATTATATACAAACTTGTATATAATAAGTGAATTTTGGGTTTCAGTATTTTAAAATTCTATTTTAAAAGAAATTTAAAATAACACTTATGTTTGTACGAATCAAACATATAGAATAGTGATGTTTGGATTTAAAAAATGAATTTAAATCTCTCGAATCTTCGAAATCTCTTGAAACTCAAGAAAATTTCAAATTTCTAGAATTTTTGGAAATTGAAATTCTACGCTTTTTCTCGAGAAAATTCTCGAAAGCTAGGTAAAAAAAAATTAAAAATCGATGATTAAAAGAACCAAAGAGATCATTTAGAAATAATCAAAGTAACTCTGATTAAAATTTTATGCAAAACTTTTGTTAATAGATTTTATTTCTTGAAACGAAATATTCCTCTTTTAAAACAAAAACAGCACAGTAGTTTCTGAAATTTTAAATTTAAAAAATTCCGAGAGCTTCGAAACCTTGTGAAATTTTAAAAATTTCGAATTTCGAAAAATTTTAAATTTGGTGCCAAGCTATTCCAATTAAAAATTCTCATTAGGTGCCATTTTGTATGCAAATTTCCCCAATTCTCGATCCATATTAAACTAAAATATGGCACGTTGGTGAAGTATCATATTTTTTACACTTTTTACATTTTTAAAACAGAATAAAAATTGTTATGTTGAACAAATTTTATTAAACTCGTGTGAACGATTTTTATTGGAACTGTGAAACAACTGTGTTTTTGTATGTGAAAAACAATAAAAAGGACACATGACAGAAATAATAATCCTGAAACACTGTGCACCAAGTATATCTCATATACCAGAGTATCATAACTCAGTGACATACCTGGAGAGTAAATTTGCAAAAGTAAAGTGTGGGTTTTAAATATGAATTAAGGCAAGTTTAATTAAAGACATACAGGAGAAAATTAAAAAGGGAGATTAGTAAGTTTAATTAACTATAATCGCTTCCCTTATCTTCCTTTTGCGCTCTTCTCTTAATTTTTGCTTAAGCCTTAGGGGTTTACATCTACATAGAGACCTAAATACGAGGTACACAAGAAAAGAAGACACAACGTTGCAGAATTCTTTTTATTCTTTCGTCGGTTTCTCACTCTGCACTACCACATGGTAAATTAATCTTGCGTGGAATGGTGTATGAATTTTAAAAGATGAGTTCACAAGGGTTTTAAAGCGGACTCCTTGTTATTATTGCAAAGGTCCTTTCACGGCCTGCCAACTCGGCAGTTTTTTATCCGGAAATTAAATTAGTCGAGTAATGGAATAGGATAAAAATTAATTTAATATTCGGTAGATTTCGTTACGGTTCATCGAATGATTCTTATGCTCACTTGGCCTATATAGAATTGGGCAGGAAATAAATATGTATTTTTCCAGCTGTGTGACAAAATTTTCCTGTTAGTGTCCAAGATTTATGGAGAACATTTACTATTAGTAATGAAATGTGGAAATCTTCGACTTCTTTGAAGTCTAAATTCGGAGGCGTTCAGGCAATTTGCTTGCCAAATATGTGGGAGATTTAGGTTTATGGGTTCTCAGTTCTCTCAGGATTTTAACGTTTCTCAAATTGCATAAATTGAAATAAAATGAAATTTTCATCTTAAAGGACATATCGTAGTAGTTTTTGGAAAACTTCGATCTTTAATACTGTACTTTTCATTATAAAAACGGGATACTCAAAAAAAGTATATAAATCAAAATATGTAGCTACTAAAACAGATGAAAAATGTACTAAAATCGATCAATATGAATCAATTTCAGGAGTGTAAGGAATATAAATTGAAATAATTTGTTAATTAGATTTAACTAATGTATATATACAGGATGTTTATACCTTTTCAAGTTCAAATTCATAGTATGTGCTCAAATATTTAAATGTAAATGTATTTAAATATTTAGAATATTATATTATATTCGTGGAGCCTCAAATTCTTCCACTTCTTCGCATGATCAAAAAATTCTGTATCAGCCTGGATAGTCATATATCCGCAATGAGAAACCCTAATCCTGAGACATTTCTCACTCATTTCTCTCTAAATATCTCAAATGACTATTTCAAAAATCAGAACGTTTATTTTTAACCTCCTCTATTTTAGTACATAACAACCAATAGTAAAAACCCTTCCAAAGCAATTGCATAATCAAGAAACTTTTACAAATTTAATAATCACGCATACTCATAGCAAGAGTGCATTTCCTAGTGCCTGATACAAGAAATATTGTTCGATATCATCAAAACACTACATTTTATTCGTACCAGTTATACTTAACTAATTTAGTTTAATTAGCTCCACGCTAATTAAAAAGATTTCCAAAATTCGCTACCATCCAAAAATTTCTCAAAATCCTTCTATTCTACATCATCCTATATCATCCTATATCATCGTAATCATTAAAAATTAAGCTCTTCAATTCATTCGAACAGTAACATTGAACGAAAAAGATCGACTAACACGAAACCTCTGTATCAGGTGTTGCATCATGGGACAACGTTGGTCCACTGGGACTGCGAGGGCGGCACCACTCGGACGGCCTTGGTATTCGCGCGAGTGGATCGTGCTTGCGGCACCTTTGTCTGGGAAAAACCACCGTGGAGTCCGTTGAAGACCGCTCAGCTAGGCGGCACAGCTTCCACGGAGTTCTCGCTAACTGCCAATCCAGAAGACACGGTACCGGCCGGTTTATTAGGAAGGTATACCACGCAACAGACGGATTGCGCTTCCGTGACACTGGAGGAAGGATTCCTGGACCTGAGCTCCGTCAAGGAAGTGATGATCGGCTGTTGCGATCGGGACAGGGAGACCGACCTCAGAAGCATTTGCAAGAGGTACGGTCTGTCGGGCTCCGACTCGTGCATCGGCCTCATGTACGGCTCCAGTCTGCCGGACAATCGACTGATCTTTCTCCTTTGCCCTCCTGCGCTTAGCAAGTAAGTAGCGTCCACCTGTGATTCTCTTGTTAGCAGGATGTTCCGAGTCGGTCAGGCATTTCCAAGCACCTGGCTACATGCTTGGTGTTTCCAAGATACAGTACAATTTCTGTTCTATGATATGAATTAATTGAGCCGTTCGCTGCATAAATTAATTAACTCCATAAAACAAAAAATGGAGAAATGCAATGAAATAATGTATATTGTTTTTTAAAATTCCCTTTATAATTTAAATCGAAATAAATATCGTAGAATGCATAAATACAAATGTAACTTTCATCTAACGGTATATAAAATTTATAAGAAAAAATAGCCAAAAGGTAATCGTTAGTAATGTTACCATTTTTATGTTACTGGAAGAGTTAATCGATTTGGCAAGTGAAAAAAGTAATAAATTTAAATTTTACTAAATTTTACTTAAATTCTGATAAGACGGCGCTAAAAAATTCACCGTTATCATTCATGGCTCGCTAGTGCATTCGAGTTGCATTATTGCAACGATTTACATTAGAGTACGGAGTTAATGAAAGTGACCTCTGAAATAAATTATTTATTATTCAGTGGCCAAAAAATTTTTGTCGTTTAACTGTGTTAATCTTAATTATCAGGGAAAGTTATTATAAATATAAAAGTTATGACTATACCAAGTGCTTTGACACTTAAATTTCAGATTTTTCTAAAAGTGGAGTTAATCGATTTGTGCAGTAAGCGGCTCAATTGGAGGATATAGGAATAAGTGTCCTTATGAGAGAATTTTCCATGTAATTGAACAAGAAGCGTGTACATAGTACTCGATCTGATTTAATAATCAAATAAAAATTATAGAAAATCGAAAATAAACAATATTTTTTTTGTAAGTGAATCAAAAAATGGAGTTGAGAACCACTGTTTTAATATACAGGGAGTTCCAGCATCGGTAGTACAACCGGGGAAGGTATGATTCTACATGAGAAAACAAATCGAGAATATAGATTAAAATTTTTTCATTCGGTGCTTTGTTGTCGAGGAAATTGACTTTGAATATTCACCGAGTACGCGTGTACTTAGCTATGGCTTAAATGGGTAAACCCATCGATACATCAGTATCAGTGGTATTATCGAGAAAGGGGTGATTCTATGTGAAAAAACAAATCGAAAATAAAGAATCAAATTTTTTCATTCGAAGCTTCGTTATCGAGAAAATCGACTTTAAATATTCACCGAGTACGCGTGCACTTTGACTTAAATGAATGGACCATCAGTGTACCAGCGTGCTCGGTGGATATTCAAAGTTGATTTTCTCGACAACGAAACTCCGAAGGAAAAAGTTTTATTCCTTATTTTCGATTTGTTTTTTTAAATTTTATTCTTTATTTTCGATTTATTTACAACGATGGTTGTATTACCATTGCTGAGACACCCTGCATAAATATTTTTATTTGGGATCTTTGTTAAAGTTTTTGCAAGGGAACTATAAATAAAAATGAAAACCAAATTTTGAGTGTGAAGTTACAAATATTCGTATGTTTGTGATCTGTTTGGTTCAGGAAAATCAAAATTCCTTGAACTATTACAAGGAAAATACAAAAATCTTTTATATACATGACCAATTTGAATATGTATTTATAATTATTTTCTTTAATATTTGGAATTTTTTCTTTTTGATTAAGAATATAATAAAATCTTTTGAATACAATCGCATAATAAAGAAATTGACTCGTTGTGTGGATCAACTTATTCCCTAATTTTTTAAAATAAGGGATTTGAGATTCTTAATTATTTCAAGAACGAAATTACTGATTTATGGTCATTTGAGGTTTGAGTATCGATTTGCACGTCTTTTCCTGTTTATGGAACTTTTGTGGGCTAAAAAAGAAGCAATTTTTATTTAATTATAATAGTGAACCAAAACTGCATATTTATTAACCTATTCACGTAAGTTTATTTAGAGTTGCATACTACATATGGAACAAATTAGGCAAATTTTGCAAATTTGCAAAAAGGAAGTAATATTATAGCTTTAAGCTGACAAATATTTTTCAAAAATTTGGAATAAAATTTTACTTATCCAATCCCACATGTATGTGTATTGTAGTATCGCAGGATTTCCGCCTCGTGTAAAGGTAGCTTCAACTTAGAAAGTCACCGAGGGTTGGAAGGCAAGGTCGGTCGGAAAAACCCCGGCGATGCGTCAGGCCCTTAGTATGGCCATATTTGGCGATGTTGGGGGAGGCTTTTGGAAAACGTATACCTGTTGGGGAAGATATAAAAGCAGGAAAAAGTGATTAGTGAACAGTTCTCTGGGGACAGTTCTTGAGAGACAGTTCTTTAGAGGAGTTCTGAGTTGTGTTTTAGTTGTGAGTCATTAGTTGTAACAGGCTGAGTTGTCATTGTGTCGTTGAGTCGAGCGTAGTCTTAACTTGGAATCGATATAGGTTCGTGTGATGAGACAAATTCGTGTATTTAATTGTCACTCGTATATTGTTAATTTATTATTATTAATTAATAAATAATTCTACTTACCATCACCAATCCCAGTCTCTATAGTATATTTAATTATTTATCTATACTATATGTCTTTTTAATATTATATTTAATATTTTTAAATGCATTCAAAATTAATAATTTTGTTAAATATTGATATTTAATATTATAATATTTCATTATAATTTATATTTTTATTATTTTTATAATATTTTATTATAATATTTAATATTTAATATCGTATATAATATATATAATATTTAGGTATTTCTAGTAATAAATAATTACTGTTTTTAATTGGACACTAAATGCACTCAGAGAGAAAAATCCGTGATTGATCAATAGAAAAGACGTCAAGAAAATTACAGTAGCTCTTATTGTACCGAAGAAGAGGCAAAAGGTATTGGTCCCTAGCTGGAATGTTCAATCTCATCTTCTCCTTTCACCTGGCATTCCGATTGCACTGAACAACACGAATTTTAATCTGTAATATCCATTGAGTATTTCTTGTAGAGTTTATTTTCCTGAAAACAATCAGTAATCGAAATTGCTCTACCATTCACAGTTTCCGAAAATTGTGAATTTTTCTAAAAGGACACAATTTTTGTCTATAATTATTTTATAAAGTTAGTGGATAATATCCCAAGTTTATCAATGTCCATAATTATAATTATTCCTGCTTCTGAATAACTATAATTGGTCATCAATTTTAAATATAAGCAACTGAACGTACCTTTTACACACTATTCTTGCATTTCCGCATAAAGTTCTTCATCTAATACGAAATTGCTACACAGTATCATATTCTGTTTGTTTTTCAGAAAAAGAAATCATGGAACAGAATTGTCGAAATTATTTTTAATTCGATTAGATCTAGAAGATATTCGTCAGTAACGTGTATACAGGGTTTCACCGCCATGTAGCCATTGCTCGCTCCTCTAGCCACGACAGTGTCGTAGCTATGCATAATCCTAGTACCAAGTGCAATGGAGCTAACAAATAACAGTCTACCAAAGAAAAAAATACAATTTTGCTATAAAATTTCGAAAAATTTCGAAAAATTAAAAAGAACTATGAAAATTTACTATAGATAGAAAATATCTTAATGTTGAAATGCGTAGCCATCTTCATGTGATAACTGATATTCTTTCTTAAAGAATAATTTTCGGAAAATGATTTCAAGCTAAGGAAAACCTAGAAAGAATAAACCTGAAATAAAATGGATTAGTGCAAGAAAATAAAATAAAAGCGGAACCAATATAAACAATAAAGATCGATCAAATGGAAGGAACGACCCAAAGATAAGATATAAATATCCCAACGGTGAGACATAAAGAAATCAACAACGAAAAATTCGAATTCTCAAATAAAAATAAAATCTGAAGAAAAATGAAATCGTATAAAATAATATACATAAGCCTGAAATGAATGGAATACAATCTGAAAAGATAAAAATAATTAAAACCTGAAAAAAAAAGGATTAAATTATTTGAGAGGTGCCAATGACTAGCCAATGATCAACGCAATGATAAGACATAAACAAACCAACGACGAAACATTCGAATATTATACGAAATATTCGAATGTCCAAATATAAATAAATATAAACGAAAAATAACATCTGAAATAAAAAAAAAAAAATAATTAAAGTCTGAAAAAAGCAAAAATAATTAAAACTTGAAAAAAAATAATTAATACTTGAAAACAAAAAAAATTATTAGTAAATTGTTTAATGGGGTGGGGTGGCTAGCCTCAACCTCACTTCGGATCTCCACCCTTCGCATACATCGAAAATTTTGATGTTACACTCCCGAACTTAAACCGACAAATGACTCGAGCATCGGCGCGTCGCCCCTTATATAGCCCCCGATCGGTCGAAGATCGACGGAAATTTCCGAACTTTACCGATTCCATTAATTATTATTTTTCCGCTCTAATAGCTAACAATTTATTAACTTTTTCACTTTTATTATAAATATACGTTGCGAGCAATTTGTCATTAACAATATTAATTTGTTATTAACAATCTGTGTATTAATTTATACACTTTTTGTAAATTATAAGTACATTTTAACATTAGAACATTATAAGTTCAAGTAATAACCAGTAATTCATTAATTTTTTCCCTTTTATTATAAATTTACGTTGTTAACAATTTCTTAGTAATAATAAATTTTATAATTTATACATTTTTTACAAATTACAATTACATTCGCACTTCCATAGGGTAAATTGCCGTGATACGCATATGTATGTCAAAATATATTTATTTCCCCTGTATTTTTGGCTAAAATGAATTATTACGCAAAAAGTAAAAACGTTAGACGATTCATTCCCATCTTAAAAGTTAGGTGGGAGATTATTTTTCAACATCTTTATTTTAAAAAATAATTCGGTTTTATATATTGAATGATGGAAGTATTTCAAATTACAAGCAATTTAGAAAAATTTCTCGTAATTTTCTGATTAGTATAGAAGAGTAGATGAAAACGTACACGTGATATATCTAAAAAAATGAAATCCATTGAACGATGATA